ATTCTTTGTTGAAATCAGGTCTCTCTTGTAAATGAGTCCTCGAGGCTCAATGGGATTAACCTGTCTAAATAAAGGTTGAATGAATGAATGAAAAATCGACAAACACAATAGGGACACCATTTGAGAATAAAATCAGAGGAAAAACTGCTGGGACCGACTTCCTGTTTGACAAAAGCATCCCTTTGGTTTTGTCAACGTTTAGGACAAGTTTGAGACGGAACAAATCTGACTGGATGACGTCTAAAGCGGATTGCAAACGCTGGAAAACCTTATCAACTGTTTTACTCGACAGGAAACAACTGTGTCATCAGCATATAGTGTAAGGATACATCAGGGATGCTATGACCTACATTACCTATCTAGATGGTAGATAAGAGGGTGGGTCCTAAGACCTAACCTTGTGGTACACCATTGTTGACTGTTAAATAACTGGAGGACATACCATGACAAGGAATTAGGAATTATCATTTGATGTGTGGGAGAAAGTGCTGTGGCATGTATTTATTTAATTATGTAGAAAATGAAACATCTGAAGAAGCGTTGAAGAAATGTGTATTTGAACGACGCGCTTTTATTTTGAAGACCCGTCCCGGAAGTGTCGACTCTAACGGCTGCTGGCTGGACGCCGGAGCGGAGCGTCTCGGTGTCGGAGGGATGAGAGAGGGACAGCAGCCGGGACTAAGGGGAGGAGGTGGAGTCTGTCCCAGTCTGCATCTGGCCCGCTCCCCTTTCTGTCACCCCGGGCCAAACCCGCCCAGCTCCTCTCTGTCTCCGCCTGTCCTCCCGCTCGGCTCTGCCCGGACACACACACGCAGCGGCGGCAGACTCGCACACACCGCCTGGACACGGAATGGAGACGGAAGGGAGCCAGAGCCTGTCCACCACGGACTCCCCTCACGACCCCTGGTAATGGAAAAAGAAACTTTGTTTTTCAAACTTTCCGTCGCCGTTCAGCTCGCGCACTTCAGAAACAAACCTCGCACACCTCCACGCGCACAGCCGAACATGAGAGATGAGGCTGAACCCGCCGCGGCTGCTCTCAACACCTCAGTAACTACTTGGTCATGAGCGCGAAGAAAGGTTGAAACTGTCTGAAGCCTTCCTCTTTACGGTGGAAATTAAACATTTTCTCTTTTTCCACAGCAAAATGTTCATAGGCGGTCTGAGCTGGCAAACAACACAAGGTAAACCTTTTTCCAGCAACGCTCCAATGTCACCAAGTCTTAAAAAATCACTGCACGTGTTGGATGAAACCCGTGGAAAATTCACGGAGAAGCTGTTTTTGTTAATAATTCAGTTCTTTCACACTTTAAAAAAAAAAATTTTTACATAAACGTGCTCCTGAATGAATGCCCCCATTCAGAAATACCATAGACAGGGACTCATTTGAAATTATTGAGGCAGTTTATTTAAAGTTTTTAGCCATTTTGAAGCTTTTTGAGTTTTTATCGTGTTTGGTGATCGGTACTTTTTAAGTAAAACATTACAACCAAGTGACCAAAAGTCTTGCAAACTTTGTCAAAAAGTTGTTGCTTGTTCGTCCCCAGCATGATTGCATCGTCATCTCTTTTCTGTTTTCCAGAGGGTCTGAAGGAGTACTTCTGCAAGTACGGCGAGGTGAAAGAGTGTATGGTGATGCGAGATCCGGTTACTAAGCGCTCGAGGTGAGGGAGCTGCGAGCACGGCTTCTCCGCCAGAGCTGAAAGTTTATCTGACCTCCATGATTCCTCTCTGCTCATAATGTATCATTACACGTCAACATCACTAATACCTTCTCCCCGACACGTCTGCAGAGGCTTCGGATTCGTCACCTTTGTGGATCAGGCGGGCGTGGATAAAGTTTTGGCCCAAACCAGGCACGAGTTGGACTCCAAAACAGTGAGTTCTCTGTGTTTACTTCCCACCACTTGCTAATCCCATTGCACAGTGTTTGATTAGTGGATTTTCTGATAATCCGCCTGAAAGGTGTAACATTGCTACATTTTAGTGTGTTTACGAAGGGTTCCTAAGGGTTCCTCTGTGCTGATGTTTTTCCTCTTCCTGTATCTTTAATACACGACTTGGCATCTGCTGCTGCACCTCAGCTGGGGAGCACTTTACATGATAAAGTCCTGAGTCGACACTTGGGAGAAAGTCTTCTCTCATCTCAGTTCTGCCAAACAAGGCAAGAAAATGTCACCCAGTGTCAATTTCCATAGAAACACGGGAAGCAGGACAGGGTTGCATTCACTGCCGGTCTTTGATTCGGCCTCCTGGAAGAGTGAATTGAGACTTTTTTCCCTCCCTCTCTGTCCCCAAGGGCTTGAATTGAGCTAACAAAAAGTTTCTCAATAGAACAAGTAAACGCAACCTGAAACCATCAAGGTGTGAAAGCAGCAACCATCGAACTCCTGCGAGCTTCCTGTTGCTCTCAGCGAGAATCAAACCACGAGCGCGGTGAGGACCGAGCCGGCGCGGTGCATTCAGGCCCTTTTCACCTGCGTCAATTGCAACTTAGAATGTATTAATGGCCTGTGTTCAGAGTGTGTGTGACTGTGTGTGTATCTTTTTGTCAGTAATGAATGTGGGCCGGTCTGGGAACAATGTGGTCTGTTGGTCGCCATAGGGACCACTGCCCCCGCCTCTCTCCTCAGTCAGGAGTTGTGATTGGTTGCGGGTTAGTCACTGTATTGAAATGAGGGGAGGCTATTTCTTTCCCCTTTTGTGCTTTGAGCGTCTCACCTTCTCAAGTCTTTGCAAGACAAATGGACGTTGCAAGGACGGGGAACATGGGCTGTTTGCCGTAGAAACTTATGTTCAAAGTTAGCAAGAGTTTTAACTGAGTGGTCAAACCAATTAAAAGTTTTTTTTATATATATATTTTCTGGTTACTGTGGTTATGTAGCGATTTAGTGTCACTTGCTGGAAAGTGCTTTGACAAGCAGCCCCATCATGGTCGGACGCCACTAACTCACCATGGGGTTGGTTTCCATAGAGACCCCCACCACCACCTCTGCCACCACCATTTTCACAGTTGAAAAATGACTCTGTCACAAAGAAGAGAAGAGAAGAAAACGATGCACATCAGTTACGATCATTTCTTAAAAAAACAAAAATCCAGGCGGCTGCAAATAGCAGAGGCCATGACACTGACCGACGATCTTCTCATCTACTTATTAGGTCTAAACACAAAAGACTTCTTATATAAATTATCTGCTTTTGTGTAAGTTTGAGCTGCCCTGCTCATGGGCCCGTGGCAGGGCCTCCTGTGGTTGTTTTCTTGGTGGCGTTCGTCGGAGGCCTCAGCAAGTGTGTGTAAAGAGCTCGGTAATCACGTGCAGGGGTTGGATGGTGAGTATCAACCCCCCCCCCCCCCCCCCAGTCACTCCTTCTCTGATTCAGGTTATCCTGTTAGCGAGGGGAAAGAGAACAGTTCTCCACTGGCAACAGAAAGAATGTGCCATGCTGTGACCGACTGAACCGCTCGGCGCTGGAATTAACAGAGCTTTGCTCAGCCGTGAGGCTAAAGAGCAAATAGAGCGCTGCAGAGGAATTCATTGTGCTGAAGGACTGATGCGGTGCAGTTCGGACCAGCATAGTACGACAGGTCTTGCTGTGATTTATGGAACGTCTGCTAATCTCGTCGTCCCTCTGGGTGCCCTTTCAGCCCCCCAGCTGTTGGCAAAGTTAGAGGCGACGTGGCTTCACCTTTTGTAGGACAAAGTTTATCAGGAGAGAGTTTTACCACAAAAAGACAGAGCTCCTCACAGAGCAACATTGGGCATTTGTACTAACCCCCCAACTGTTTCCGTTCTGAGCTGAGTGGGGGGAAAAAAGTGCTGCTAGTGGGGGTGGTGGTGGCGCATGATGACCCCATCTGTGATTACTATGGCTCTTCTTACTAATAGGATTGGAGCCATCAGGCTTGAGTTGTTCCTCGGAGATGGTGAGTGCTGCTGTCCAATGGGCAGGTCGTTCCCGGCTCAGGCTGTGACAGGCAGCACGCTAGGCCAACTGTTGCATAGCTGGGACGGAGCTGGCAGAGGGGGATTGCCCTGATTTCATAAACCTATCTTGGAATTACCTTCAGCGTCTTCTCTGTTACCTTGCTGAGGGTCAGGCCTCTTTAAACGGACTCGCTCAGGCCTTCAAGTCATTTCACACGCCTTAATTTAGAACAAGATACGTTGAGTATCGTTTTCCTGCAAGAAATTTAGCCACTTTAGCAAAAAGTACTCTTAAAAACAAATCTGTCTGGAGTCTTCGAAGCATGGTTTCTGTTTTTCCTGCATTGCACCACATAAAAACAGCTGTGAAGTCACAGTTAATGTTTGTGTGTAAGCTCAGGTTGTTGGTAAGTACAGTGCAGAGGAGTCTACACAATAAAAGCAACATATCTAAGTGACGTAGCAGCCATCAAACTCCATTTCACTCTGGTCAACATTGGAAAACAAACCGATTTCATTCATGCGTTCATTTGATCTGTTTAATGTCCACATTTTCCTGCCCTCGGATGTGCTGTGTGCTGCCACGTGTTTGATTTTGTCCGTGTGTGTGTGTGTGTCTGTTTGTTTTTGAATGTGCACAGGCGTGTTGGACATCAGGAGGGTTGGTGACCGGAGGTGACTATCAGAGTAGTCTAGCCATCATAGAGACTAAACAGTAGACTCTGCATCTGATCCTAAAGTCTTAGCATATAGTGTTTTTTTTTTCTCCACTCTGCTCTCTAGAACAGAAGTAAAAATTAAAAATAAAAACAAAAGTTGCAGTGATGTCTTGACTCTGGTAAACGCATGTGGTTTACCATAGAGGTTGTAGCTCTCTACTGTAGTTCAACTCTACCCTCTCATGGTTACGGACTAATCAAAGCGCTGTACTGCCTCACCATCTGTTAGTGTAACAGCAGTACAGCGTGGCGTAGTCTAGTTGTTCTCTAGCTCTATTAGACCAGCATAGACTAATATAGAGGTCTCAAATTCCAGTTTTACAGACTGTCAATGAATGCATCTTCATGGTATGGTGTAGTTCTGTCCTTGTTTTTTTTTTTTTTAACCATGATGCTATTCAGTGGGCTCTTCCACATTTTGTAGTAGTTTCATGTTTTGAATGTGTCAATGAGACTGAAATGAAAGCAGAGGAAGATCCGATCACCTGAAGGTTCAAAAGATGATGAGTGGTTCTTTGCTGTTGTCATCGCTTGCGTCGGCATGCTGAGCAAACTAAACAAAAAGCTGTGTCGCTCCAGCATCAGCGTGGCATGATTGACAGCTCCCGTCTCCTTCTCCTTGCTCCTCTCACTCGTTCCTGACGCACACTGTCTCGGTGAGGCGTGTTTGTGATTGTGGCGCTCGTGTGAGATTCCAGGCGATCACATGTCACACGCTGGTGCAGAGAGAGGCCGGGGTTCACTGGATGTTCCCAGGAAACTCACCTGCGCTCTCATACACATTCACGTTTACTGTATATGAACAATGATGTGTTTGTACTAGGCCTGTCACGATAACAAATTTTGCTGGGCGATAAATTGTCTCAGAAATTATTGCGATAAACGATAATATTGTTTAAAATTTGACAATTATTAGGAATTATTGTCAATTTTAAGAAGAAATGTTGGTTAATTTTTGTGTGTAGTACATTTTTTCAACCACCGGATGACAGTATTAGACTGTTGGAACCGAATGGATAGTGAGGGAGCGAGCAGCGTGTCTCTTTATGAAATATGGGAGGGAGGTCCCTTGACGTGACACGGGCTGTCTCTCCTTACTTTTTTCATTTTTCAAAATGGCGGCCGCTCGGTGTGGTTTGAGCTCTTTAGCATAGCATTTATCACACAAAGCTTTTAATAAAAAAATTCGGTAAACAAGTTCTCAGCTTCTTTTTGCAAAGTAAAACAACTATTTACACGAAGGCACGGGTTTCAACCGTGAATTATGGAGCTTCGACAAGACGGAGGTTTTTCCCCGAGGTCGGCCTGTTAGCTTAGCTCATAGCTTAGCTTCTCAGCTTAAATGCTTTTAACGATCCAAAAGCGCAATTTTGGACGGTTAAAATGGATTTTAAAGAGAAAGGTAGAGGTCATTGAAGAGCACCGGAGTTGAGCCTTGTGTCATCCAGTGTCTTCAGTAGAAAGAGACACAAAGAAACGATAAAGTCGATAAATGAAAATTTGGTCGATAATTTTAATTTATCATGCAATTAATTGATTTATTGTTTATCGCGACAGGCCTAGTTTGTACCGTTAAAAATATATGGGGAGTGGACATATTGAATAACCATATTCACAAAATGTGACTCAAACGTTTAAAACAGCCATCTACTTACCTTCAGCCCGATGTTTCATCCATGATTTGCCTTTACATCGTAAATGCTACTAAAATGCTCGTTGGCAAAGAATTTGTTGCAAAAGTCGGAAAGACCAAACAAAAAAATGATTCACAAAGTAACTAACTAAATCTGCACAATATATTTCTAATATTGATGCTTAACATGCTCTTAAATGGAAAATTTGTAAGCAAAGTTTGTGACAGGATGCCGATAAACAGGTGCATTTGTTTACTGGAAATGGCTAAAGTGACTAAAAAAAATGAGGTAAACGTTGAATTTATCAGTCATATTTGTTTACTACGACCAGCCTAATGTAGGTCAGTCCTGTGACTTAAAATTCCACATGCTAGATTCAGCCGAGTGCTTTGTTTACATTGAGCGAGTACCCGCATTTCAAAACTGCATGTCAGTATATTTGTAAAACGACTGGAGTGTTGGAGTAAGCTCTTTCAAACTGCACCATTTGGTGTAGCCCACGATAACCTGCTTGATTTCATACTGTGCAATGAGTACGATTAAGAGTAGTTTTGAGATGGATTATTTATTGAGCAAAAGAGTTTAGTTTTTTTTAACCTTTTATGAATTAAATATTGTCACAGATTGAACTGGTCCTTTAACACAAATCTTTTGGCCCTGAATGATTTAGAGCTTTCTTAAACATAACCCTTTAAAACAGTCTCACTTCTAACTGCTACGAGGCTGTGGATGCAGCAGGCTTATTAAAAGACCAAGATACTTGAAACTGATAGATGCTAATGTGTTTTAGAACACAGTGAAAAAAGGGAAAATTAAGACATTTTACTAGTGACGCTTTCTGCAAGTCCACCGATCAATTTTATTCTGACACAAAAAAAAATAAGTTTTCCCCACAAATAAGTCCAGTAAACAAATTTTACACGTGAAAAAATATTTCTAAGTATATCTCAAAAGATGTTTCTTGCTTTTCAATGTTCTTTATTGTCATTCACATGTGGTACACGAGGTGGAACAAAACGGTGTACACAAGGTCCCAGTTACACCCAAAAATAGCAAAAATATAAAGTATAAATAGCGATGCACAGATCCACTTTTTTTCCACTTCTGATACCGATACCTACAATATCTGCGGTTTGATATCCTTAAATACCGATACGATACCGATCCGATACAGGTAAAAGGGTGCTGAATTAACTTAAAACATTTGTTTTATTAAACACAGACATAAATATACTGAATTACAAATTAAAAAATATTTTTAACACACCAATAGCTTCACAAGCTTGGTCAAACATGTACAAACAACACAACTTTAGTTTGTTTAGTGCAGTTATGAGTATAACATCCAACGTAAAGTAAATAATAATAAAGACACTGAAACTGACAAAAACAATAGGTTGACAGCTTTGGTCACACATAAAAAATAAACTTCAACTAACCTTTCAAATGATTCAAGAATTCTAAATATAATGTAAAATAAATAATAAAGGAGCTGAAATAAGAGGAACAAACAATAGCTTCACTAGCTTGTTTGGCAGATATTAAAATAAACAGCAGTCAGCTCCAGTCCTTATGGATCGGTCACATCATCACCGATAAGTTTTCAATACCGATACTAATATCGGATCAATGCATCTCTAGCTATATGCTAAGATAAACGCTAAACAATACGCTAAAAGGTCTAAGATACGCTAAACACTAATGACGTAAAACAACACGATATATTAAACATCAGCCCGGACATTTTTCCAGTGCATAGCTGTGACTAATCGTTCATTTGATTGATTTACTTGCAAATATGGTAAAAAATGTATATAGCCAGCATTTGCGTTGTTTTCCCATTGTTTTATCTACAGCTTATGTTTAAAACAAAGTTTTAAATAAGTGCCTGAACTTTAGAAAAGCCTCTCTAACACACATATTTTTCTTGTTCTATTATTTTTAAAAGTGGATAAAGACTTAGTAAAAAAGAAGACTCCAGTCTGAGCGTATTGTCTAAATACAGTAGAGGGTCGCAAAAATAATCAAGTACAGAAGACGTCTTCCCCCAATAAAAAAACAGCTAACAAATAATTTCTGTTTTTGTTTTGAAACCCTGTAACTGAGATCTACCAACATTCAGTTCAATTTTGAAATGTTGCCAGAATTGAGCCTTTACTCTTTGTGATCCCAGAAAAGTTTCAGAATTATTTATTCTAGTCATTAACAGGTGAATTTTTAAAAACTAAAGCAGAAAATCACAAACGACCGAAGTGCGTAACATCAAACACAGTGCTGATAGTTGTGTGTAGAAGAGTTAAACATGGCAGTCATGGCTCTGTGTGTGCTTTTTCTTTTCTTTTAACTTTAAGAATAAATCAGTAGCATTTAGATTCTACCATGAAAACTTTTTCAAAACTCTGTTTTGTTCATTTAAAAACGCAAAGTTCTTCAAAAAACTCTTGTAGTTTAAAGCTTGTTACATCGCAGGCAACACTCACACCACGGGTGTTTTTTTTATTATTTTATTTCAACGTTGTCATTTATCCATTACAGTAGAAATCACCACACCACATTTTAAGCTTTAACATTTCAGATATTTTAATTAAGAAACAGTGATTTAAAAAAATTAATATATAAAACCTACATTTTCAAGTTTGTTTTCCCTAACAGAATTCAGTTTACCCTAACTGACCTTTTATCTTTGCAGTTTTATTGTCCGTACATCCACTGCCACAGATTTTTATTTTATGGGAAATTTAATAATTTTTTAACCTTTATTTATACAGGTGGTCTCATTGAACCACGAGGACTCACTTTCAAGACAGACCTGTTAATAGAAATAAACACTCTCTGTAAAATGTTTATTATAATAGCCAAAGACAATCAACAATCTTTCCTGTTAACTTTATTTTTTAATTCTTAATTTGTCTGCTGAAGTCATCATACTTACAGTATTCACCTGTAGTGTTGTGCATTAAAGTGTGTTAGTTTCTGAGCATGCAGAACATGTGACGTCTTCATTTAGAGGTGCCTGCACCCTGATTAATGTTGTCATTACGTTTTCTATCGTGGAGAGGAACAAGCCTAAAAAGTTGGTGTTTTTGATCAAAGATGAGCTCGTTGGTGGTCAAACATGGATAAAATAGACGTTGGGTGACGTCTTGATTTTAAAGTAAGGATACAGTTCTGATTTGAGCACTAACCGGTTCGTTCTGTATCTTCCCTCATAGATCGATCCGAAGGTGGCGTTCCCTCGAAGAGCTCAGCCCAAGGTGAGAAGAAATGTCTCCTGATGTTCTGCTGTGTTCGCAGCAGGTTTACCTTCATTAATATGTTACTTAACTGTTGACAACCCTGACTGCTCTTTTTGGTGCACCGTAACAAGAAAAAACTCCACAGCTTCAGTTTCGAACACTTCTCTCTTCGCTCAGTTCCGACCGTGGCCACTTTGTCTTTTTGATCGGCCTCGGCTGACTGTGAAACTGAAAGAACGGCTCTGCACTGAGAGGAAAGGACGCCAAATGTAGCCTTACCCACACCAACATTACTGGAAACCTCCAAGATTTTACATCACTGGAAAGTAACGATAACTCATAAAGATGTTCCCAGATTTTCTACTCGTCTGTAAATAACTTGAAATAAGTCAAAATACACAATTAGTACAGTTGGAAATACTTCCAAATTAAACAATTTCATGGATGTTTGGTAAATAATACTTCTTTCATGTAATTTGTATGATAACAAATATCCCAGGATAAATTGGCTCCAGAACCCCAACTTGGCACTTTTTTTTTCTGATGAAAACAAATATTATTGACTATTTTTTACTAGACATTAAAAGTAATAAATTGTGCCCACAAACTAAAAAAAAAAAAAAAAAGTTTTTTCAACATAGCAGGGGCTGAGCAATAAAAATGTTCTTCATGTGCAGCAGGTCCTCCAAAAACTCAAGAAACACCCAGAATACATGAATATTGTAAATGTTGTATTACTGGTGATTCTGTGAAGATCAGCGACACTGACATTTATTTCTCAGTCCACTTACTTTTCTGCTTATGTTGAACAGAAATGTTACTGATGGAACAAAATGTGTTTCTCCTTAACGTCTTCTGAATCAGAAAATAAAGCTCCGTGTTCTTTCACTCAGTTCAGTTTTAATGAGACGATACAAATACTGTCCCTCAGTTGAAGAGACGTGGGGACGGTTTTGACCAGGAGGTTGTAACTGTTTGTGTTGACTCTTAACTAGACTCATCACAAAATGTGGTTTTTTTTTATCAGATAAAAACTTTGTTACAAGTGGATGTTTTTTTAATGATCACCCTCTCTTTTCTTCCAGCTTGTGACCCGAACAAAGAAGATCTTTGTAGGCGGCCTGTCAGTGAACACAACTATCGAAGACGTGAAGCAATACTTTGACCAGTTTGGGAAGGTGAGATTTTGAAGTTTGTTCGGTTTGTCAAATGGGGAAAAAAATGTAATCACAAAGTACGAAAGCGTTTTATAAGTTGTTTTTTTTTATGTCAGTGCAGAAATAAATCAACAGCTTAGAAACACGCACACAGTGCAGCATCCCACCAGCTCTGTCGGTTCTGACTCACGGCTCTCTCTCGGAGAAAAACTTCACTTGGAGCCGAGCGGCGGCCCGGGGACGAAGGAGTTACTGCGAGGAAGAGGAGGGCGCGAAGGGAGAGAGAAAAGGGCTGGAGGAGCAAAAACAACGGGGCTGAGAGGCTCCGGGAACGGCGGGCGAACTTGGGGGTGTGTGGGGGATAGAGGGGGAGAAGGGCTGCTGCGAGGTGTGTGTGGGGGGGGTTGTAGAAAAGTTTTGTACAGAGTGTGTGGTGGTGAAGAAGGAGGGAGGGAGGAGATTATCAGAATCTGAATTAATCTGATGTAACAGCTGCTACTACCCACAACCCCCTTCTGGCCTGTTACCGTGGTGACCTAGCTTGCCCATTGTCCCCAAGTAATTCTGTGGGTTGGGGTGGGGGGGGGTTGTTCTGAAGGAGGAGGGATGAGGTGGTGCTAGAATCACTGCACTGGGTGCGTGGGGGGGGGGGGGGTGGTGTAGTAACAATAAAAAACAAGTTAAATAACTCTAAAACAAACAAACTGGTCGAACAATAAAGTTTTAGTGTTTTGCCAGATTATGAGCTACACTTGAACTTTTTCCAAGTTTCTCTTAAACGTTTCTGTGGAAGGCAGAGAATAGATGATGGGCTGACAAAAGCACTGACTGGGGAGGGAGGGTCTTACTTTGGGAGGCAAAGAAGAGGGAACTGGCGCAAAGATGGGGTGGGGGGGGGACCTCTGATCAAAGCTTGGCAAATATTTTGTAAGTTTGTCCAGAAGTTAGCTGCATACAGAACGTTCCTTTCTGCTAAACCTGCCTCCCAGTGTCAACACGATCATCACCAGTTTGTTCCGTTTTGGTTCTGGTTATGTTTTAGTGGACAGGGGGTGAATAAATATACCAAATTAAGTCCAGAAGTTTTCTCAACGTCAACCCCTTCAAAGTTTTTAAAGACAAAAGACACATCGACTGCGTTTAGCCGCCACGTTTTTCCAACTGCGGCGCTTTATTTGCAGCGCTCGACGCTCCGGCCTCGAGTTTCTCCGCGCTCCCTCTTCAATCATAACATGGAGATGAATTTCTGCCGAGAGGGATACCGAGGGATGGACGGTGAAATGTAGGCTGCAGCCATCCATGGAAGTTCCTGATTAGACTGCCTCGCTGGACCTATTGTGTCCAGTCCTGGTGAGGACAAAGGAGTGCGGAGAGGGATAGGCGGCAAATAACAGGGAAGATGAGAAGTCGGGAGGGAAAAAAGGAATATCGTTTGGCTCTGTGCCATTTAAAAATGTCCAGTTTGAATTATTGACCGGTGATGTGACTGTGTTTGTAGCTTTGAATGTGTTTATTTAAACATCCTACAGGGTAGTTTGTGTGAAGTTTGTACTCATACACTGTACTTTCAAATAGGTCAAATATATTCTGATTACCATAACTTCCAGACCATTGAGCTCACCTGAATATAAGCCACGCCCACACAAAAAAATTGTACATATTTAGGCCACACTTGTCTATAAGCTGCAGGTGTCCACGTTATAACATGAGATATTCACACAGGAAGATTTTTTTAAACTTTTAATTCAATACGTACTGGTAACATACACAAATATGTACAGTAAATGTTTTTGTCTAAACAGTGCCTGTTACACGGCTGGTTAAAAAATAAATAAATACAGTAGCCTACCAGGAAGTCATTGATTACTATCTTCATCTTCCTCCTGTGCACAGGAAGTTAGGGATGCTTTGGTCCACTTTTTTCCACTTCCAATACCGATACCCGCGTTTTAGCTCTAGCCGATACCGATCCGATGCAGGAAAACAGACCCGTTTCTGAAGCAGGTCCAGATGACATGATTTAGCCACTTTTGTTGTCTACCTGGATGATTGAGCTTACAAACCCAGTGCTGAATTAACTTAAAACATTTATTTTATGTACTGAATTACAAATTTATTGAAATCTCTGCACCATAACAGCACACTTAAACACACCAAGAGCTTCACAAGCTCAGTCAAACATGTAAAAACAACACAACTTTAATTTGTTCAGTCAGTTCGCTAGTACGTAACATCACTCAGAGCACAAAGCATAGAATTAGAGTGAATAGATCTGCCCAGTCATGGATCGGTCACATTGTCACCGATACCCGGTCCAGAAGTTTTTACGATATCGGTACCCTTGTCGATATTGGTATCGAATCAGTGCATCTTTACAGGAAGTGGACCAATGAACTGTGACCTGTTCAATAATTTCATTGGTCAGATATTTTAGTTTGGATAGATTCTTGTAATCTCAAGTATTTTATTTTGACGGTCTGATATTAAAAGTTCTACAGGCAGTTCAAGTTGTAAAGAGCGGCTGTCAGGCTGGAAGCAAACAGCGACTGACTGAAAGGTCCTCTTTCACACTGACACTCCTCACTCACCTTTGACCTTTCTGTGGGCAAAATGCCCTCAGGGGTTCACACACGCACACACACACACAGACTGTCCTATCACTGACGCTCTTCAGTGACTATGACGGATTATTCTGTGGAACATATCCCATAAACTTATTTTAGACCAAGAGGACAGATGATTTTACCAAATGTTTGCATGGAGCCTGATGTTTAAACATGTTGAGCAGCGTCAAAAGAAAGAAGGGAAGAAAAAGTCACAAAAAGAGTGGCTCAACTTTGACTGGAGAAACTGTGTGTGTGTGTGTATGTGTGTGTGTGTGTGTGTGTGTGTGTGTGTGTGTGTGTGTTTGTGTGTGTGTGTGTGTGTGTGTGTGTGTGTGTGTGTGTGTGTGTGTGTGTGTGTGTGTGTGTTGAATAGACACCTGTGTCTTTGCTCCATAAAGGGAGGCTGGGCCGAAGGGAGAGGTCAAAGGGAGAAAAGGAGGAGGAATTATAGCTGACTGTGCCAACAAACAAAGCCTCCAGGCCTCTTTGTTCTCCCACTCTCTTTGTTTCTTCTTTTTCTTCCCTTTCCACTTTGACCCAATCTTTCTCCCTCTTACAGGACTCTCTGTGCTCTCTTTCAGCGTATCTCCACCTGTCGCCATTCCTCTCACTATCAGCTCTCGTCGAGTCTCCACCTGCCTGCAGGATTCACCTTTCTGCCTGTGTCGGTGCTCCTCTCCGTCTCATCGGCACGCTCCCAGCATTCATAAAAACTGCCC